ATTATATAGAGTTTTTTTTAGAAAATACTTATATAGAGATTCTCAACACTACACCTTTATAGATCGAGTTTTAAAAGGGGATTGTTTTTTTTAGAACTCTAGATCCTTGGTTGCAAAATTGAGAATTGTATATAAATATCAATTTTTTTTCCTAAAAAGTATTGAGAAAATACATAAAAGAAAAAATCAAGCAAGTAAAAGAGCGAAGGATACTTCTTATATCTGGAGGAGGATAAATAATACCCACTAAAGGTTTACTTTCTTCTTCATCAATGCTCATTTTTAAAAAAAAAAATTTTTTGCGATTTGCACAAAAATAGGATTAATCGGTGGGTTGGAACATATTAATATATTAACATATGGGGCGATTTATTTCTTCCCCAAAATTGAAATTTAAAGACCCAAATTTACATTTTATTGGACTTTGGACTGATTGGACTGGACTAGATTTTATTTGGACTTTTGTCACCAGGATTTTTATTAAAGGAAGTAATTGATATAAAAAATATTGTATGTTTTACCCGACAAACCAAATGGTTACAATCATTTGGTATCTGCATTGCTCTCAACCTAATATAAATATTAATGAAAAAATTTGTCATAATTGTTTGTTGAATTGTAAAACTACAATTGTAAGAATCAAAAGAACCAGGCACCCGGTTATTAGTAGATGGAAGGGAAAAATGTGAAATAGAAGAAGATGGTCCTTATTAGTTTAAATTCTGAAATATGATTGGCCACGCTTTAGAATTGGGACCAAGTCCAATTACCAATATTGCAAATTTCAAAATATATCCAAAATGACGTTTTCTTTGAATAGTGCGTGCAACATTTTTCAAGCGGGTTATAATATATTATAATAGTTTAAAAGATGTTGTTAAATTTTTCAGTGGGAATAACCAAAAAATCCTTTATCTATTAAACAAATAACCGATAGTTGAGTTCAACTGAATGTTATTACAGGATTTTCATAGAGTTACATAACATTTCTCTTGAAACCTTCGCCCATCAATCAATTTAAATTGTCGAACAAAAAAAGTTTTCAAAGTGTCGAAACGATATTAAGAAATGCAGGTTTATTTCAAAAATTTAATGATCGGTTTGAAAAAAGAACCATCAATAAAAATTTTTATTTATATTATTTTTACCTTTACGTACTGATCTGTCGGTAACAATGATAATGATCGATCATTTTGTAATATATATATCTATATAAAAGAATTCTGAGATTCAAAATAATTATTTCTGTTGGCTACATTAAATATAAAGCTATCAGCTGTAGCTCCATAACCATCTCCATTCCAATCAAGTGGATTATAACCACCAATTATCTGATCTGAATTCTCTATTTTAGCAATTACAAGAGTTTTGGAAACATTATCACATTTTTGATGAAATGTATTTGCATTTAAACCATCATTACTGCTACGATATAAAAGTTTAAATTCATATTTGATTTCGCTGAATAACTTGTATGGTGGACTTTTTTTGTCAATCCGACTTGCAAAATTCAAAGTAAGAATATGGTTGATTAATAATGATTTAAGTCTTCTTGATGGTAAAAATTTTATAGTTAGTTTATGATTAGGGAGTATATAAAACCTTGAAAGGTCATTCAATAAAGCATTAGAAAAAAGCATTTGATAAGGCACAATCTTGTGACAATAATCCTCTTTAGAAATATCCTGAAATCTGATCAAGGAAATAAATTCTTTTAGTGTGTTGCCTAAATCAATAAAATTTTGTAGTGTCCAATTTTCAACATCATTGTTGATTTCTTGATGTTTTGCTAATCCCCATTTAACAATACTTTCCCAAACAACTATTTCATCGACAAAAAAATCATTTCTTTCAAGTATTGCCAATAGAATTAATTTTTCTAATGATTCAATTTCTCTTGACTGAAATATTTTTTTCACATAACTCTCATATTTATTAGTAAAATAATTCATTGTATACTCGCAAAGTGACTCAAGTCCAAGTTCATATGCTGCAATATATAATTTCGATATATCCACTTCAGTATAATCTCCCAATTCAATTTTACATGTATATAAAAACCTTTTAAAAATTATTATTAATATTATAAATATCATAAATAGTGTAAATATCATAAATATTATAAATAGTTTAATAAGCCTACTTGAGTATATCTTTTAAAATCAGTTCATCAATAGTTGTTATCTTAATAATATAATATCCGTTTTCTTTTGTTGCAGTGTCCAATGCATCATTGAAAAATGAACAATGAGTACATATGATCAATGAATGTACGTTGATTTCTTTGATGTTTGGTTCTACACCAACATAAATTTTTACATCACTATTCTTTCCTGTATTAAATAATCTTTCATTTGTATTAAAATATCTTTCTGATATTGTTGAATCCATTTATTTTTTAGATTTTCATATGTTGTGACGATCACGTCTTTTGTGAGGTTTATTAATTATTCTCAGTGTAACTCAACTTCTTCAAAAAGTTGAAATGCTCATAACAACTTTACCAGCGGAACTTTTGATTTAAACATTTAAATATGTTGAAAAAAATTAAAGCAC